TTCAAACATGGGAGGAGCAAGAAGAACCTTAAAATACTACCTGTATTACAGCAGGAATCAGTGGTGATCTGACTAGTCCTATCAGTGAATTCAGGATTTCCATCAACGCCAGGGTCTGACAAAAGTACATCATGTCAGCAATGGTGTGAAACGTGTCATAGAAAGAATCTGTAAGACACAGGACACTGCCCTAAGGACAAACAGCTCTTCAGAGGCAGGAAGCATAACTTTTGATACCTCAGCAGAATGAATTATTTTCACTTCAAAACCAAAAGAATTCTGCCCAGCTTATTTTCAAAAATACCAATATGGCAGTAAGCAAGAAGTTTTCTTCCATCTGATTTCTTTAGATGAAATCTTGGTGGAGTACAAGCACTGTTCATTAGGATACACACCTGTCACTTCAAGAAAACAGTATTTTCCTATCCTTGAAAATGTGATGGCTTTCGTTGTGCACTTTGGTGATAGATTTACTACTTTATTTCCTAGATATGTCTTCCTTTAGACTTTGATATTTAAAAAGCATTAAAAACAACACCCTGAAATGATAAAGTAGTGCTGATTACTTGCCTTTTCCTAAGATGAACAGTCGTACTGTCATGTTCACAAAAATCCAAGAGAATCCCAAAAACTGTACAAGATTATACATTATTAAGTATCCTTTCTTCAGGTGTTTGAAAGCTGAAATCAATAATAAATGCATCAGATGAGCAGACTACAATGCAAACGCACTCCTGCAAACCAAGCTTTCTGTGAAAATGCAGCTTACAAAAAGGGAAACTATTGATTGTGGCAAAAGAGTAGCTGTGTGCTTTGTGAGTTCTGCCTGCTTTTATTATCTGCTAGAACAGAATTCTTGTTAGTCAGATTTTTGAACTCCTTAGGAACCGCAGGCAATTTTTATTGAATTTCTAAATTGCTCATAATACAAGGATCCTCCTCCAGCATACACCAAGCCACTCAAAATTGCTCCATGAGATCACAGATGTGAGCTACAGAAGCTTTCTGATTCTCCCCGTCTCCCACACCAGAAAGGTACAGTTACTTACGGTCTTTTGGGACTCTGGATTCTATTTTCATTTTGTTAATCTTTTCTTCCTCCTTAAGATGAAGGATAAGGTTTTAGCGAGCGTTACTGTAATTAGCAACTGATTTGTTAACTGCCCTACTGCAAAGCTAGTAGGTTTAAAACTCAGTTAAGCAGCCAATTGCTAGAAGGCTTAAATGTTCACCTGCATAAAACAGAGCACGTTTCTCATCCACAATTAACGGTAATGTAAAAGGCAGAGGGTGTTAACCGGCTATACAGCCTTCACTGTAGCATGTGGTGCTCTAACAGTTAGGTGCTTTTGCTGAAAAAGCCAGCTGATTTTTGTGTTCACAATTATTACTGTTTCTTAGAACTGTTCCCACAGCCAAGAGAACTGAAGGGAACTGAGTACATCCAGTCCAGGCTCCTCCTGCCCTTCACAGCTGCTTCTGTTGTTGCAGCAGCTCTTTCGCCTCTGCACTAACCTCAGTGGCAGAGAATAGGGCAGCATTTGTTTTACACCAGTTAAGCAGAAACATAGTCTGTTCCGTTCAAGTGCTTTCCAAGATGGGCTTTCACCTCCCTGCTGTATTAAGCTGCTTGAATTTACCATATGGTGGGAATGCAAAGTCAGAGCCAGCCCTGCAGCTCAGGAAACAGTACTGTGGCAGTACATGTGGAAACAAGTTCCTGCTTCCTAGACAAGCAATGTCAGGACTGGTGTCTCTGACATTAATCTGACCCTCATATGGATCACACAGCATAAGGCAAGAAGTGCAAGCCTTCAGCTGCAGGCATCAGCCAGCACAGAGCTAATACACAGCAATCCTTGCTTTGTGACTGGCAGCACAAACCCTCCGAGCCCGCAGGACCAACCTTCTCCTTCAGTTCCATTTCAGCATCCGATTCGTCTAACCAGCGATCAAAGTCCGGAGCGAGGAAGAGCGGGCGTTTCTCTTGCTTGGTGAGCCTCTCCCACCAGTTACTCTCCTTTTTCTGCACAGTGATGTTGAGCTGCCTTTGAGTCACCCTGCACACGGGCTGGAGGCAGACAAGAGTACACATCAACAAGAGCCCTAAGCATCAAGCTCTGAGGCCGATACCTGAGCTTCCCACCAACAACGCAGAGGTGACATAGACTGCTGCAGGACAGGCATCTCCCTGCTGCCCAAGACATGCCATAGAAACCAAGCGCAAGGTGAAGATGGCAACTAATATGGTTATGGAACTTGTGATTTGATGACCAACTGGAAGGCCTGCCTGCACTGCATAGCACTATCCTACCAGTCAGTTAGCACAGCCCCTGGTGCTAGCAATCCCACACAAAACCTACAGACCGTGGCTTTAGGCATTCTTGTGTTTTGTACTGTGAGCCACTTCCTTTAGCCAGTGGTAAAAATAATGCTATCGTCAGTCACAGGTACGTCTCCAAAACAGGGAATCCCACACAAAACCTGCTCTGGTGAGAGGAAGAGCCATGACCTGCATTTGTAACTGATGTTCCCCCAGCACTCCTTCTGTCAAGGCTGGCTCTGTGCTCCTAGGACATCTGAAGGCTGCAGCTGTAATTTACAGCTGCTACTGGCACAGGCTCTGTCCCTCACTGATGGCCACCCTCCGGCCTCCTCCTTGCCAAAGCAGCAGAGCCAAACCGTGGATCCCAGAGCGACTGCAGGAGTAAGCAGCACAAATCCTCTGCTGGGAGCAGAGCCTGGAGTTCTTCCACGCCCTGGAGGGTTTTGAGAAATGAAGCCAGATTTCACAGCCACCTACAGGAGTTTTCTCTTCCAGCCAAGCTCTCTCCTATTGAACTACAACAGCAATTAAAACAATGTTTTGCAATACGACCTGCAATGTGTCAGTACTGGCAACCCAAGGAATTTGTACAAGCCAGAAACACCAGTTCTCATGAATTTATTTTGCTGGGCTGTAAAAGCAGCCAGACTGACACTTTGTACTGTGGTGTTCTCCCTCCTCTCCAAGGCATAGCTGCATCAGACAAACTATTGCAGGCATCTCCCACTATCTTGCTGCTTTAAATCCCTGTACAAATTGTAACTACTGTGTAGCAGCTATGGTAAATTTAAGGCCCTGTTCCTATCGAGGCTCCCCAGTGAGATGAGCAGCGTTAAGGCAGGATGGTGGCTGAGCACAGCAACCCAGGACTGCTATGGGTAGCATTTAGCAGTCAGTCACCAGGAAGACCTAACAGCACATCGTGGACTTCATGCACATCTATTCTCTTCTCATGTTTCTCAAACAAACAAGCAAACAACAACAAAAAAAACCCAAAAACTTTTTATCTGCAGAAGTTAGAAGAAAAAGAAATACCTACTTTAGGCTCAACCGGCTCTAGGAACTCGATCTGAAACTCGTAGATGTTGTCCCCTTTGGCACCATGACCCTGAGCTAAGAAACAAGAGCAGACAATCAGCAAAAAGTACTTAACGAGTCCCACGCACCTTTAAAGTACACCTGACACACAGGAACATTCAGCGTTGGTTTTACAGTGCCTTCCCCTGCCCCGCTAGGAGGGACGATCACGGAATCAGAGAGCATCCCATGCTGGAAGGGATCCCAAAGATGAAACCCCCCGAGGCGTGGAGCTGCAGGAACCAACGGAGCCACAGCTCTGCTGGGTGTCCGCACTGCCTGTTCGTGCCCGATGGAACCCGGCCGGGAAGCCGCCGCTGGGAGCAGCGCTGCGGGCAGTGCCGTTTCTTTTCCGTCCGCACGCCGATCCCAGGCAGGCACGTGTGGCCGCGCCCAACCGGGTGCCTGCCGCCGGCTCGCCAAGGAGGTGGCATCCACCGGGATAGAGGGAAAACGACCACAGAAGTCACCAACCCGCACTGAAGGCGGCACCCCGACGTGCTGAGCAGCGAACCGAGCGTGCTGCCGGGCCGGGCCTTTTACCGAAGGAGCTGCTTTACCTTCCAAATGGGGCTGCGATAACGCACACAGACGGGGCTTTGTGGGCTCGGCAGACGGACAGAAGGACACGGAAACGTCCCCCACATGTAAATGCGGGGCGCAACGCTTTGCCTACGAGATAAGACACGGCCCGCAGCGGCCACAGCCCTACCTCGGAACCGCAGCACGTCGTCGGCGATGCTGATGTCCGGGTTCTGCAAAGGGACGAGTTCTGTTAGAGACCGCATTACCGGCACTTCCGCGACAGCCCTCGGTGGGCCCTAACACGGCGCAGCGGAACCCCCTGACCGCCCCATCCCCGCCCCCCCGGTACCGACACCGGCACCTTCACGTCGCTCAGCTCCACGCGCAGATACAGCTCGTGGTGCCGCTGCGCCCAGTGCACGTGCGGCCGGAGGCTGCAGCCCGCCATCGCGCAGCCCTACCGCGCCGCTCCGCTCTCGAGCCGGCGGGGGCTGCCGTTGCGCCTGCGCGGTGCGCGCGGAGGTGAGCGGGGAGAGGAGTGGGAGGGCGGGGTTCTGGGTGCGCCTGCGCGGTGCGCGCGTCACCTCGGAGAGGTGTTGAGATGAGGGAGGTGCGATGGTGGGAGCTGAGGGTGCCGGGTCAGACCTGTGCGGCTGTGCGTTCGTCCTTCTCAGAGCTCTAAGGCGGCCCTGAGACAATACGTGTTATCCCCTGCCTCGCTCTGTGCTCAGCTGTGCGCTTCAGCCCTGAGCTGGTGACAGCGATGGCCGTCCTGGTGAAGAAGCTGAGGGCTGTAGGGGAGTCGTACCGCCGGCCTCAGCCCTCGGCTGCTTCAGACAGCGCTGCGCTGAGCAAGAGGGCTGCGCGCACCGCGCCGTCCGCCCTTTTCCTCACCCGCACAGCCTGGTCCTCCCGGCCAGCAGGCGGCGCCCTACCGACCCACCCCTGTATGCGCGGTACTGCCGGGCTGGAAGCCGTGTCGTTTCCTCCACGCCGACAGGGGGCGCGCGGCGTAGCCGAGCAGCCCGGCGGCCCATCTGGCGGAAGCGGAAGCGCCCGGCGGGGCGGCTGGGCAGCATCGCAGCCGCGGAGCGCCGTGAGCAGCGGGGTCGGACGGCAGCCGGCGTTCTCGGGGACGCCCTGCGAGGAACCGCCGGTAGCACTGGAGGGGCACCGAGCCTGGAGAAGGTGGGGGATTTGTCCCCGGGCTGCTCGGCTCGCTGCCCTCGGCCGGGCCTGCCCGCCGCACCGTGGCTGGCGATTCCTCCCGGGCTCTGCCCGTTTCCTCCGGCCGCTCGGGCAGCCCCGCGGCTGCTCGCCCCGCTCCGGGCCCGTCTGCCCCTCCGGCACGGCCCTGCGCTGCGGTAGTGCTGGAGCTCGCCCGTAAGGACGGTGCGTTCCGTGGCAGAACGAGGCGGCAGCGATCTCGGGCAGATCCTCGCGCTAAGCCCGGGCTGCCGTGCCTTTGCCATCCGTTCCAGGTTGCTTCTTAAGGCCGCCGCTCTTCGTTTCCTGCTTTTCTTGGGAGGGGTGTCTGAGAAGTAGGTCGGGTTGAGGCATACCGGCATCCGCGCGTAGGTGGGGAGAGGAGATTTTTCTTTGTTGGAATTCTGTGAAGTAGCTGAAAGTTTTTGATTTTTTTTTTTATTCAGATTTGAAGCCTTATGCCCGGTTTTTAGCTCAGTTTGAGCAGAGCGCTGTGCTGTGTGGGGCTGGGATGGCCTTTCAGTCTTACAAGGTTTACATTTTGATTTGTTTTTGTGTTGTAAATGTGTTAAGACAGAAGAAGTGCCTCCCTTTGTTGTGTCTGGATTTGCAAAATTGCAAACATGCTTTTGATCGAGACTTGCCCTGCTCTGCTGTTGGTGTTCTGTGTTAAAACAGGCTAGATCCAAGTTGCATGCAATCTCTTCTGCTCATCTGTGAAGAGCAGCAGGAGCAGCCGGTCCATCAGAGAGCTTTATCTCGGGTAGCTGTGCTGGCCAAGCCCATGCCTTGAAATTCTTTGGCCCTTTAGTGCCTGTTTGCTGAATGCAGGTGCTCGGTTTGTTTTTCATTATTGTCTTTGGCAAGCTCAGACCAGCAAGCTCTGCCTGTTCTATAGCAGCGTGTCAAACAGTTGTGCAGCCTTTCCATTTTATATATAGAAAAAACAAGCTGCCTTTGAGGATTGACAATCGTCACGCCTTGCTGTCTTTGTTAATGAATTATGTGTAGGAGTTTATAGCTGGGATCCTTTTGGAGCTGCACTCAGATCTTGGATTTATGGTTTCCTACTGCCAGATCTCTGGGCTGTTTAGTCTAGCTTAGATGTGCTTTGTAAAGCACGGCTAACTTCAGGGAGAAATATCTGCTAACTGAACAACCTGTTCAGGAGGGTAAGATCAGGTCAGTCAGTTTGGAAAACACTCATTTCACTGGGTCACCTTCCTGTATGGCCTCATGCTTTTGGAAGAATCTGTTTGGAAATTGTAATTATGTGCTTGTAGATGGTATCATTGTGATGGTATTGCTAGACCCTTCACAGCTTTGAAAGGAGAAATTACAGGAGAATGATGGTTGCCCAGCCCTGTTGTGTATGGCCGGTAGGTTCAGAATCAACTTCAAATACTGCATCTGCTAAGCAGTTGGCTGTCCCAGCTCTTGATACAGTCCTTATCAGCCTTTATTCTGATATCAATGTATCAAGCTAGTTTTGCCGTTCACAAGGTGGAAGAATGAAGTTTGAGCTTAACAGGGAAGGATTTATTGAACTGAGCAATAGAGAGGTGTTAAGATAAAGAGGCAAACACTAATAAGTCTATGTGGATCTATGAAATTATTAGCTTTGTTCTGAAAGGCTGAGCAGTGACAGCCTGTTTTCCATAGCAGAAATGCATCTCCTTTTCTTTTCAGATTTTCCATGTGAAATAGCAGGTTTCTCGTAGCATTTTTGCTGTATTGTGTTTTTGGAGTCTGATGTGAACTTTGGCTGGAAAGGAGTGCTGACCCTCTGGTGTTTTTTCTTTTCCAGAAACATGCAACATGGCAGCAGCCATGGAAACTGAACAGCCAGGCCTCGAAGTCTTTGAAACCACGGGCTGTGAGGAGCAGGTGCAGAGAGAGGAGCAGCCAAAACCTGAACCTTTCTATGTAGAGAGACATTCCTGGAGCCAGCTTCGGAAACTGCTCACAGATACACGAAAGTATCATGGATATATGATGGCAAAAGCCCCACATGACTTCACGTTTGTTAAGAAAAATGATCCCGAAGGACCTCATTCTGATAGGATTTACTATCTGGGTAAGTTTGCTGGCTCAGCCTGTGCCTTGACTAAACAGTCACTGCAGAGGTGGTTTGGATTTGACCGTTCCTCTGTGCGCACCTGATTCCCTCCGATTGGTCCCCAAATGCCTTGGCAAGAGCTGTCAGAAATCTGAGTAGCACTGAGAGAGATGAACAGGAAGGAGGCATTCAAACCTTCCTGAAGGTGCATCATCTTTGAAACATAAGCTGCATCGTGCTGCACTCCAGCCAGGCGAAATAACAGAGCAGACCTTTCTGAACTTAAAAGCTTATAAAATAAAAAGATCCCTGACCTTCAACAAGACAAGGTTATTCTTCAAGCAGCATGTAGTAAGCCTGACTGTAGTTCTTTGTTCTTCACCTTCCCTGTGACTTGCATTTCTGAGAAGTGGGGACTTATCAGTGCAAGGCTGCATTGTAGAGATTGTCAGTGCTTCCTTTGGTAGGAATGCCTGTGAAGCTGTTTCTTAGCATCTTTTGAGAGTGTTGGAATTATTAATAGGAAACGAATGTACTTTGTTTCTTTCCTTTTTGACAACAGCAATGTCTGGGGAGAATAGAGAGAACACACTCTTCTACTCTGAAATTCCGAAAACTGTGAACAAAGCTGCTGTCCTGTTGCTTTCCTGGAAGCCTCTCTTGGATCTTTTTCCGGTGGGTCCTGATTTTTTTCTTACATCTTAGTAACACAGCAAGGCTTTGAGGTTGCACCTATAAGCCGTTACTGTGTCTTAAACACTTCAAGCTTCTCTTTGTATTTGGTTAACTCCGCAACTGTCTCAAAAACAAGCGTAATTTTCTCTTCAGTTTTTGGAGCTACAGCCTGTGTGCATCACGAAAGCTGAGTGTATGTGTTTGATTTGTCCTTTGCCAGCAGAGATTACAAGTGCTAATTTGCATCACATTCTCTGCTTTGAGATCCTGGGCATTGCTGAAGGAGCCTGTAGACTCCAGTAATCACTGTCTTGCAGGGGGAAGCGATGAGTCTCCCCAGTGACCTGTCAGTGGCTCTGTGACTCAGGCTGAAGCAAGAAATCTCTTTTCCACTCTAGGTTGTGTGTCCTCTTCTCACCTCCGTGCACCATAGCAGGTTGAGGGAGGCAGGATATTGCCTGTGTGGAATTAGGTGCGTTGTTTCCCCATGTTGCTTCCTGAGGCTGTCAGCCAGACATAAAACTCATGCTGTGCTTTCCTCCCACCAGACCAGTCACCATGTATCTTTGCAAAAGTTAGTGGAGGCTGTCCTACTCATTCTAGAAATAATAGACCTTCTGTCTGATCTTTCTCATGCCAGCGTACACTGGAAATAATGCCAGCCTTACTAAGGGAGAAGTGGCTTTCAGGTTCCCACTTCTGTAGGATACGGTCGAGGAATGCACCTACAAGTTCTCGCAGCAGAAGCACAAGCAGGAGTGGGCTCCTGGCTGTCAGCAGGATTCTGGAGGAGGAGGGTGTCTGCACAGCCATCTGGTCCTGGAAGCTTGGCGTGCAGAGATGCTCTGACAGTATTGTAGCAAATGCAGAGCAGAGGTGTTGATTGTGCTTCTCTGCCCATGTTCAGGCCATCCTGGACTACGGTATGTACTCTCGGGAAGAGGAGTTGCTGCGGGAGAGGAAGCGGATTGGCACTGTTGGGATTGCCTGCTACGACTACCACCGCGAGAGCGGCACCTTCCTGTTTCAGGCTGGGAGTGGAATTTATCATGTAAAAGATGGAGGCCCTCATGGATTCACTGTGAGTTTATTCATCTCTCTGACTTGCACAGCACTTCCTGCCTCTGGCTGGAAGCTCCTTTGCTTCCTAGTGAAGGCAGAATGTGAGGTTCAGCTATTGCTGCACTGCCATGGCAAGTTGCACTGGAGGGGCAAGCGGCCTTAACCAACCTCAAAACGTGGAGAAGTCCTCCTTAGGGATGCATAGCCATGGTTACAGAAACTTGGATGGAGAATTAAAAAGAAATGGTAGAATCTCTGGTGGCAAGGCAAGTCACTAGACTTTCTGAATTTTATTTTACTATATTTTACCAATAAAAAGGGACATGAAGCCTGTGGTGCTCTGCTCTTCCATGTACTCCGAAGTCATATCAGAGGCAGCTTTTGTTCCCAAGCTGTGGTTTAGAGGTCACTGTTCAGCAATCAGTACTGTATGTTACAGGATTTGGCTGTAGAACTTTGTGAACAAGCAGCCTTTACTCTTTTCTTGTGCTAATGCTGGATTTGAAAGCTGAAACCATTTCTTGTTGATACAAGAGATGCTTGATGTTTGCCTAACCCAGCTGTTACTGTATCTCGAGTTGGTTTAGGAGAACAAGATTTCTGTCTGTTCTGCCTGTCAATTTTTAGGTGTGCCAGGCTTCTGTAGGCAAGCTGTCTTCTGATTTGCAGTTAATTCTCAGCACTGGTGAAAGAGGCCCTGGTGGAACTGTTCAAGATGGTGGAAGCACAACTTTCCCTATAAAGTATCTGCTGATATTTTCCTGTATTTTGGAAATTGTAGAGATTGCTCTCTTGTAAACCTGTGTGTTTGAAGTCAGCAAGCACATTGCTGTGGTCATAGAGACCTTCTGGTAATCTAGGTCAGTGACTGTTTCACTACTTACTATTCTTTTTTTCTTCTTTCAATCAGCAACAGCCTTTAAGACCCATTCTGGTAGAGACCAGTTGTCCAAATATCCGGATGGATCCTAAGCTTTGTCCAGCTGATCCAAATTGGATTGCCTTTATCCATAGCAATGACATCTGGATATCTAATATAGAAACCAGAGAAGAAAGGAGGCTAACATTTGTGCACAATGGTAATTCGTCCTGAATTAAAATCTCTGCACCTCCTCTGCACTTGTTCTTGCTCTACTGAATTAAGTAATGGCATTAAGTTATCTCCTGAGATCTGAGGGAATGGTAACTGTTCACTTCATCTGGGGTTTGGTTGTCATGTTCTGTATGTTTTCTCCAATGCAAATGCTGCAGGAAAATTCTTTTCCTGGGTCCACTGGGAAAACCAGAATCTGGCAGGATGAGTTATTTGTTGAATACATATGGAAAGACTTCTCCTGAATCACATATTCTTTTTATGTACTGGAACAGTCGTTTTTGTGTGGAGTAGCTGTGGGTGGAATAGAGCTGGGGGAAAGTTTCTGCCAGCAAAGTCAGGCTGCAGGGCTTTTTAGAGACAATATAGAGTTTCTGAATAGCACTGTGGCTTCTGCTGGTGCCCTCACACTCAGTCTCTTAGGTTTGTGCTTCTACCCCTCTGCAGGTCTGGTTTAGACATGTATCCCAGGGAAGGGAAATGGAAAACTGTGGGTAAACAGCTTCTTAAAATCCATTGCATTTTGCAATTGAAGCATGCTGCTTGTACTGAAACTGCATCATTAGATTTGTAACCAAATCAAAATTTTTGACACTTTACAATAATACTTGAGCTTATTTGAAAGTTAGTTATTAAAATATTATGTAAGTACATTAAAAATAAACTATAGCAATGACTCCTTCTCAGATGATAATTATTTATGGAGCGCTGCTAAGTTACCTCCAGGGTAACAGGAAAAATATTGAAGCCCTATGGATAGGGTTGAGATGTTATGTAAGCCTGTTACTTTCAGCCTGTACACTGAATGAAATGCTGGTAATTTTTTCTGAATGTTGGTGCTTTCGGTGTCGGTTCTCAGGATTTTTTTGCTTTAATTTCCTTAATACTTGTGGTTCCAATTTGCTGAGCTCAGGTAGAGAGAACATTTTCTTTCTTGGATGAGTGCATGGAAAACTGAGAGACTAATTGGGTAGGAGTAAGAAAGGAAGATGAGGCTTTCCTTTCCTAAAAGAGGCTGCTGTGTCAGAGAGGATTAGGTCTTCCCCAGATAAATCAACAGAGTGGGGTGAAAGCAGTTCTGCTGAGAAGCCAGATTTGCTATCATGTCATTGTTCTCCAGAGGCTGAACATAGGCTGTGTTTGGGATAATGCAGAGCTGATTCGATTCTGCAGTACATCATGAACTAATTCTTTTGTGTCTTTTTTTTTTCTTTTTTCTTGAGAACTTGCCAATGTTGAGGAAGATCCAAAGTCTGCTGGCGTGGCTACTTTTGTGCTGCAGGAGGAGTTTGACAGATACACTGGCTATTGGTGGAGTCCAAAGGCAGAGCCAAGTAAGTGTGTTGGACACAGTGTGTCTGACAGGCACAAGTAGTTGCCCCCGTGCTGTGCTGTCTAGGGAAAGTTATTTCTTGTCTTTGGATAGGAACCTTATAGTTCAAGAAGAGCTATAAGTGTCTGCAGTGGTGGACGTGTTAAGGTGCCCTCGTTAGCCTGAGCTACTGGGGGAAGAAACTTTCCTTCTCACAACAGTGATAGGAATTGCATGAGACTTGGTGCATTTTGTGTAATGAAACGAGAGTCACAGACATTCCTTCATCCTTTCAGCCTGCATGTTCTCCTAGGGAAGCACTGGTGTCTGCAGTAACCAATTTTGAGAGCTGCTCTGATCAGGAAATGTCAATTCCTTTACAGCACTGAATGGGGGTAAAGTTCTTCGAATTCTTTATGAAGAAAACGATGAGTCAGAAGTGGAAATCATTCATGTCACATCACCCATGTTGGAGACAAGAAGAACAGATTCCTTCCGGTACCCCAAAACTGGTAAGACCCAGATGACCTTGCATCTCCATTTCTGGGAGATGCTTATTTTATTCCATGTGCCTTACGCTGGTGATAGAGCAGAGCGTTGTTGTAGGCATGACGTGTGGTCCTGGAATTAGTGCTCAGGTAGTAGAAATGTATGTGGAAAAACTTCTGCCCTGGAGGTTTGATTAGTCACTGGTGCCTGTGTTGATTTTCCAGCCATGAGGTTACTAAGAACTCAGTCTGGGTCCCTCAGAAGTTGGCAGAAACCCTACCTGATTGTTGCTATTTTGGAGCTGCTGTCTCAGATCCTGGCACAGAGAAGCTGGTTCCTGTTACAGCCCAGTGTCTCTGAGGGAATAGCTGCAGAATGATAGCATTTTGATTTTCCCAGGGGGAGGCATCCTGCTAGCTGCTGGCAGTGCCCTGGTAGCTCTAAAGGGCTCTGATCTCCACAAATGCTTTCGGACTTGGAAAATTGTGCTTGTTTACAGACTATGAGGGAAAGCCTCTGCTGCCATTTTCAAACAGTGAGTGATGCGAAGGCTTCAGCAGTAAAGGAACGAGGGCAGGCTGGAGCCAATGAGACTTCTGCAGACCTGCTGTGCAGTGCACTGTGCTGTGCCAGGTGTATAGGGCAAGTTTGAGCAAGCTGACCCTTGCTCTTCTGAGATTTCGCTGCTGTTTTTGCAGGACGTGTTGATCACATTATGAAAGTAGTTCGTTTCTTTCTTACTCCTGAAATCTTTTTATCTGTTTTTATTATCAGGTCTTGTAATTGCCCTAATCCTTTGGCAAGAGTTTCCTGCTTATGATTCTGATTTACTGCTCCTTTTAAGGAGCAGGAGGGGCCATGTTAGCCTGCAAAGCAAGAGGTGACTTCATGTTTTCCAGTGCTAGGGTACACTTAGATTTTGTGAGGGTGTTTTATTATACTTTTATTAAGTGCTGAATCTAAGCAGTGTAGGAAAACCAGGCAGCCAAAGCCTTAAATGCCTTGAAAACAAACAAATGTGTTTTAATCTCTGTCCTCAGTTTCCAGTCAGAACCACGTAGGCAGTAGGCTTTTTTGGGTTGTTATAAGGGCAAAGCTTGAGGTGATTTGTTACCAGGGTGAAGATGAGTACTTCAGTAAGCCAGAACTGTGGCTTAAAGCAAGTCATTCCACCTCAGTGCGTCAGTTTTTGTGAGTTGATAAAGTGAAAGCAGCATTGAGAATATTAAAACTATGTGGAAGCTGCTAGATGGAGCTGCTTAGACTGACACAACAACTTTACTCTTTATCCTTCACCTCTGCTGTGCAGCAGGCCCTCAGCACTGCAGGTGCTGTACATCTGTGTTGTTCAGGCTTTGTATGGAGAGCTAGGTGATTTTCACTGTCCAGCACAGAAAAGTATTGCTCTGCTTTTTATTCAGTATCAGCCAAACAGTAAACCAAAGCTTGCTTTGCTGTCCAGGTGGTGCATGTATGCTTTGTCTGTGGGAGAGCAAACTGACTGACAGTAGCATAGCTCCTTGATCAGGGCTGTTTGTGGCATTACATCCACCAATTCTGCTGTGTGTCTGTAGTCTCTTTTTTCTGTGCCTGGTTCTCTAATATGTGCAAGCAGGCTATTTGACCAAAGAGTGTTCTGCTTTTTTCCTGTTCCAGTTCTGTACAAATAACAACGCAGTAATCCACAGTTCAAGCCTGCCCTCTTGGAAGCAAACAGTTTGTGCCTGACTGCTAACATCTGTTTTTGTAGGTACAGCAAATCCAAAGGTCACTTTCAAGATTTCTGAAGTGGTGATCAGTGAAGAAGGAAGAGTAAGTTCCATGTTCCCCTTGTTCCCAAGTTAAATTTGATTTCTGTGACTCTTCTTGGTAAAAACCGCTTTCCTTTTCAGCATAACTGAACGTTCTTTGTTGTGTTAGCTCAGTGGCTTACCTGGAGGCAATGCACTTGGCTCCTTCCTTGTGTTCAGCAGTATTTCTCAAGGTCTGTTTGATGAACTCAGCTGCAGAGCAGAGCATTTTAGGTGTGAATGGTTAGGCTTCACTATGTGACAGATGTCTTGATTGCTTGGCTGCAGACAATGGAAAAAAACTGATTGCAAAGAGAATGTATCACCTTATAAAAGCACGAACTGTGGGAAAAGATGAGCTTTGCTTTCACTCCAGGAATTTTGAACAAATGCAGAAATTTCCATAGGCCAATCCAAGGTCTTTGGACAATTGGGGAATTAATCTTACCAAACAGATACGTTAACCTCCATACATTGTTGGATCCTCTCTGCTCCTGAGCTGCTTCAGCTCATCAACACTCACCTGCTGGGACAGCGGTGCTGATGTGAACCAGCAGTGAGGGAAAGCTGCCAGGATCCTTGGGGTACCACTGCGATTTGTCCCAGCAGGGGCAAGCTGCAGAGCTGTGTATCAATTAGAACCATATTGATAACTGGATGCCATGCAGAATGTTCAACATACAGCAACAAAAATAAGCTTGGTACAAATCACCTTCCCTTTGTATTTAACATGGGGAAACTGATCCTTTAAGTGTCTTAGGCAAGGCACGTGATGGATTTGTGAGCAGAATCTGTATTCCTCAAGTCCCAGCCCTTGCTGTGCTGGTAATGAACAGCTCTACAAATATTCTGGTGTCTGGCTACAGGTGGGGTGAATACCCTGCACTGAAAGGACAAAACAATCTAAATTGCTTAAGCTGCGCAGAAGAAGTCTGCTGTGTCCAGACTCTCATTGTGCATGAAAACTGATTGTGTGGGTTCGTCTCAGTCAATGTCAGTCACTGAATTACTCCTTTGTCAACAGATTGCAGGTGTTGTGGATAAAGAGCTGGTTCAGCCGTTCGAGATCCTCTTTGAAGGAGTAGAGTACATTGCTAGAGCTGGGTGGACGCCAGAAGGAAAATAGTGCGTATGTTAATCCTGTCTCTGCTTAGAGGGTTTGGGCAGTGCAGCTAGAAGCAGAACGTAGCGGTCTTTGTCTTCCTTGAGCTGAAGCCTTCTTTCATTTTCCCTTTGCTACAAATACATCTGCATAAAGAAGGCAGCTTCTCCAAAACCAAACAGTCCTTACCTCCTCTGATGCCTGGCCCTACTGCTTGGGGATGGGCACTCGCAGCCTTTGATGTTTGTGTCCTCCCAGCATCCCTGTGAGACAGAGTGCAGTGCTGTTATCCCCATTTTGCAGATGGGGAACTGAGGCCCAGAGAGGCTAAGTGACTTACCATAGTCACACAGGAAGTCTATGGCTGAGGACAGAAATGAGCCCAGGTCCCCCAGGCTACCACCCTCACCTCTGGAGTGTCCTTACTGACCAGAGTTACTGATCAGAAAACCTGCTATAAGTGCTACATACATTTGCATATCATTTTTAACCTTGTCGATGATGTAGTGCAGTGCTTCTAATTCACCAGAAGCATCTCCAGAGTTGCACTTCTCCAGTTCTTGAATCTAAAGATTTCACTTTATTTATTTTTTTCAAATGTGGAAGAAATGCAGGGACACATTTGTTCCATTGTCTTGCTTTTTTTCAGGATTATTATTAGAGCTACATGTAAAGTCATCAGAAGTATGGCAGGGTCTCCTGCCAGTTCATTTAGGTGCCAGTATTACTCTCTGCCAGGTACAGATTTAAAACATTAATATTTTGACGAGTATCCTGAAACATTGGTTATTCCTCTTCTTCGTTATTCCCTCTGATTTTTCTCTTCTCTTTCTCCTTTAAAGCACAATCCAAATCTGGGGGAATAGAATTAATTAAACTTTTCAACCACCAGTGCTTATGCAATATTGAAACGAAGAGAAATAGTTATGGAAGAGGTTTGTTTTTGTGGGTGAGATTTTACATGTGGCTTTTTTGCTTAATCTGAAGCCGAACATTCTTGACTCCCCCGAAATGCCTCGTGGTAATGTGCTGCTTTTGAGGTTTTTCAGATCTCTCTACTGTTCATTGTTGTATGCTGTTTTCTCTAATACCTGTCTTCTCAACAGCATTTGGTCCATCTTACTGGATCGTTCCCAGACTCGACTGCAGATCGTCTTGATTCCCCCTGCATTATTCATCCCAGTAGAATATGATGCAATGGAAAGGCAGAAACTTATCGACGCCGTACCAGATTCTGTTACACCTTTAATTATTTATGAGGAAACAACAGACATATGGATAAATGTAAGAATTTGAATTTCAGCCTTATCTGACAGTTTGTTGTTCAAGACCCCGTGTGCAGCACTTGGGCAAAGTTGATGTTGCTGTGCTGTGCTGCCGAGGAGAATATTCCTGTTGTCCAAGTTCTGTGCCTGTTTCTGGCAGAGAGCTGCTCTAAAGGGCTCATAACATGTAGAGGGCAAAAAGATGTGTGATGTGAAAGCAGAGCTGCTTTGCTTGAGGCCGCTAGGTGATCAGAGAGCTAGGAACGGAGCCCAGGACACTGCTGTTCCAGGATAGCCCCATTCCCACAGTGTTACCCACTGTCCTCCAGCTTCTTTGTACTTTTGTTTGCCAGAAGCAGTCCCAGCAGGTGAAGTATTCTTCAGCCAGTGAAGATGTATCTAGGTGGCAGTGGGGGAACGTGTCTCAGGAATCTGCTAACAGTCACTGAAAATCCTCCTGAACCACACATATTCTGGTGAAATGGATCCCTGTGTATTGGTTGTGGAGGTATTCTACAGGGCCTGAGCTCTGTGAGCCTGCACACAGGTGTGCTAGGCTCACGGTGTAGGAAGGAGTGCTGTTCCTGCTTGTGCTGATCTCCAAAGAGGCATCCTGCTGGGGGTGTACCAGGGTGCAGGAGAGCCTGAGAATGTCAATCACTGGTGGGTAGTTGCATCTTTCAGCAGAGTGTGGGCACAAAGCCTTCCAGTAAATGGTTTCTGTACAATGAGTGCTCTGTAGTACTGTAATTTCTTTTTAGTAGTAGTGTGCATGGTTTCAGGATGGTGCAGTATGTTGTCTTTTCTCTGTTATTTTTCTGGCTGGAGTTGTTTTTGACTAGCAGCACTTAGTGTGCATATAAGTGCTTCTGATGCTTCAAACGATTGTCACTTGAAGCAAGAGCTGGCATCTTTATGAGTGGGAAGATGATGTCAGTTCATCTTTCTCTAAATAGCCCTTATGGGCTTCTAGACAGCACCTGGCAGAGGTGGCCACCAAACCCTGTCTTATTTTGGTTGGCCTTTGTATGCTGTCTGCAGAGCTGGACTCACCTCTGTATACAAGCTAGAAAGGCAGCTGCAAAAAAACTTAATTCATTCTGTGGCCAGGATATAGGCTATCAAGAAGCCTGGAGCTGTGCAGCATTTGGCTGCTGTTTGCAGACACCTCATGGCTCTTATGCATTATTTGTTCTGCCAGTAAGGGACACTGTGCTGCAGCCTGCTGGTGTAACCTGTGCTGGGCAGTTAGAGGTGTTCATGTGTGACTTCAGTGCCAAAGTCCTGCTGATAACAGCAACGTGCTGTTCTGTCTCCACAGATCCATGATATCTTCTATGTTTTCCCTCAAACCCATGAAGATGAGATAGAGTTCATTTTTGCCTCCGAGTGTAAAACAGGATTCAGACACCTATACAAAATTGTCTCCGTTTTGAAGGAGAGCAAATATAAACGGTCATCTGGAGGACTCCCTGCTCCAAGTGAGTGAGTTTATTCTCTTGCTTTAATTGGGCATTTGCTGCTGACTGGTGAGGAAATGAATGTCCTTCCGGGTGGCAGGAATCACTAGAAACTGCTGTTGTTTCCTGAGAAGCCCTTCACTGTACAGTCATTCCTCTTGAGATTGTAAGGGGGTTGGTTATTCTGTGTGCAGCACGCCTTCATTCTAACCCTGATTCTTCCTTGCTGACTGGAGGTAAAAGTTTCAAAAAATCAGATGCCAGATGGGCTTCCCTGTGGTGCTGTGACGTGCACTGAGTTGACAGTGATGGGGTTGTTTATTTCCTGACTGCAGTGGGTTAATCATTACAGCAATAACGTGGCTATCTCTGATCTGAAGGTCCAGTGTATCTAATAGGTGTTCAGGACCTGGTTTTGGAAGTGAAACCAGCGTAGTTCCTGTCAGCCTTTACAAGCAGATCGTAGCAGAGGCTGATAAAGAGCACAGTTTGAACATGCTGTAAAAAGGACTGCAGAGGGCCTCCCTGCCTAAGGGGCCCACTTGTTAGTCCCTTTAAAATGAACATATGTGCTTGGCAGCAAAACCTATGATATGGCAACTATTCAGAGAATTCCTATCTGCTCTTAAAAACAGTCATGGTATTGCTGTATAGACAGAGATGTTAGTAGGAGAAAATTACTGACAGCTGTTGCAAGTGGAAATGCGGAAAGAGTAATTCCAAGCAAAAAAAAAAAAAAGAAATCAATGCAAGGACCACGTGCTTCCAAGCTGCAGTCAGAGTTTGCATGGTGGAGCTGTGCACAAAGCCCCTGGAATGTTTTTTCCACAGTATGTGTTCTTTCATTTACAGTTTCATGCTGTGATATTTAATTTACTTGTTGTGTGTTGAAGGCACTCGCTGAGTTCTGCGTGCACAAGAAGTGCACCTAATTTTACTGTAGGTCCCAGCTTAGTGCAATTGTTGGTGTGGGTTTTTTCCAAAAAGCATTAGATTGGGTTCATTAGACTTCTATGATTGTATCCAATTACTTTTTCTTGCTAGATCTCCCTCCTTCCAAGGCAAATGAAGCCATTTTATAAAAGCAGAGCTGCTTCCCAGCCCAAAGCAAAATTCCCCATTTTTGACACCAGAGATTCCCTTTGCACCCTTTTCAATATTAAAAAAAGCAAGAAGCAAAGCTATCCAGGTGTCACTTTGAGAGTACCTGTGAATCCTTCAATACCCAGCTCTCAGAATGTTTAGTACCAGCTCTGACATTTGTCTGCAGAGTTGCCAGAGATATGGGTCCTCTGCGAAGTCACGTTGTTCTTGGCTTGTGTCTAGCAGAAAAGCTTGGAAAGAAGAAATGTCACGGTGTCTGTGTGTTCTGTAAAATGTGCGAGTGTAAAATCTCTGTTTGCAGGTGACTTCAAGTGCCCCATCAAAGAGGAGATTGCCATTACCAGTGGGGAATGGGAAGTGCTTGGCAGACATGGGTCCAATGTAAGTCTCTGCTCGTGCTGCATGGATATCTTGCAAGCAACACAGGCATGCTGGAAGACAGCTGGCATTTGGCTTCTTCCTTGCAGATTGCTGGACAGTAACTCCAAATTATAGAAGTGGTGAGGGGGGGAAGACTTGGTGGGGAAAGAAGACCTGGGCTTTTTTTCAGCCATAACTGGATATTGAAGGATGTGTTGTTTTTGTTTGTGACAGATCTATGTAGACGAAGCCAAAAAACTGGTGTATTTTCAAGGCACGAAAGACTCTCCTTTAGAACATCACTTGTATGTTGTTAACTACAGGAATCCCGGAGAAGTAAAACGACTGACAGAACGTGGTTACTCTCATGCCTGCTGTGTCAGCCAGGTATCCATCTGCACGAGGCCTGGATAGGCAGGGCTGCCTGGGTGTGTTGTGTTTTATTGCCAAACGTGTCCTTCACCAATCAGCAGACAGGGTTGTATTTCAGTGTAACAGAAGTCGATGTTACGCTGTGCTGTGTGCTTAATATTGTACAGTGAGCGTGCGGCCGCCTCTGGAAACTGGATCTGACCTCCTGGTCCAGGTTGCTCTTCAGCTCAGACAGGAGCTCAGGCAGGTTGAATTGTTTGAAACCAAGCCTGGCTTTTCTTGCCTGAAGTGGGCTGTTGAGAAGTCCCCTGAGGAGGCGAACCTGTGGGGAGGCATTTGGGGCAGTAAGCTGCTCTGCTGTAACTGCTCTGCCTGGAGAAGAATGTATGACAAAGTCCTCATGCCACTGCTGGTTTTGCAGGTGTATTTTTTAGTTTTCAAATGTCAGTGCCTGAATCTTGGGGCAGACTGTGGCTTCTCAGAGTCTATCACTCTTATTGCAAAAGAGACTTCCTGGTTTCATTTGGTTCCTAAATGTCTTCCAAAAGATATGAATACAGGAAAAAAATGATCCTTTTGCTTGTACCTCTGTACTGAGGAGTTCAAGATAACACTTTTTCTCTCTAGGATTGTGACATGTTTATCAGCAAGTACAGCAATCAGAAGAACCCACACTGTGTGTCCCTTTACCGGCTGACAGGACATGAAGATGATGCAGCTCAAAGGACAAAGGAATTCTGGGCTACGATTTTAGATTCAGCAGGTAACAGAATTGTTAAGAAACTGCAAAAAGACAATCAGGAAGATGGGTGAGACTTCCCAGAGTCTAATCTGAGATTTGCTGTTGTGGGTAATTAGGCTTCCCTGTGAAATTCACGCTTGTGTGAAAAGTTCGTGGAAGTGGAGGAGTGGCATTTTCAGCTCGATGACAAATGAGTATAAGCTGGCCATGAAGGAATTTAGAGTGGAAATTGCTAAGTTTCTACTGCCAGTAGAAAGCATGTTTTACCATCAGCAGGGGGGAGTTGAGTGAGCTTGTTTACTTTTTAGCTAAATGCATGCTAACAGGCTTGCTTCTGGGCCTCTGGGGAGGCAGTTCTGTGTTGCTGTCTGCTGGTGTCTTTGTGAGGCAGCTCTTAGGCTTTTATTTTTCCACTGTGATTCTGTTACTTTTCATCTTGTTGCTGCATTCAGGGGAGAAGAGGAATGGGTATGTGACAGGACAGAGAAAGCTCCCATATGTCTGGGGCATTCCCAGCCTCTGCCTGGTCCCAACCACATCCACGGGCAGTGTGAGAAAGCTGTGTTGTTGAGGATGCAGCAGCACGGCGATGGGACAGGGCTGGAGCAGAGCTGTCCATTCCCTGTTAATCCAGGCTCTTTGTGCCTTCCCAGGCCCTCTTCCTGATTACATTCCCCCAGAAGTGTTCTCCTTTGAGAGCTCCACGGGGTTTACGCTCTATGGGATGATGTACAAACCTCACAATCTGCAACCTGGGAAGAAGTACCCTACTGTGATCTTCATCTATGGAGGCCCGCAGGTGAGTGCAGTGTTTCTGAGTGGTGGGGTGGAGCCTTTGGACCCTTCATTTCCATGACACAGAATGACTTCCTACTGAGGGCAGAGAGCTTAATTCGTAGCAGACTTACAGCGGGGAGGAGAGATTATGAAAAATCTACATTATAAAGCTGTATAAAACACTGAAAGGGAAGTAAATAAAAATAGCCTGAAATGGGATTAATAGGTTTGATTACATAGGTGACTGTGTCGTTGTCCTTCTGTTCCAGGTGCAGCTAGTGAACAATCGCTTTAAAGGACTCAAATATTTCCGACTGAACACCTTGGCCTCTTTAGGCTACGTTGTTGTGGTTATTGACAACAGGGGGTCCTGCCACCGAGGGCTGAAGTTTGAAGGAGCCTTCAAATACAAAATGGTAAGTGTAGACCAACTGGGTCTGGTTCTTCATTTTCAGCCAGAGCCAGGTTGGAATCCTGGTGTTACCTGAGCTGAAGTCCCAGTCTGGCACGGATATCCAACATAGTTTGTGCAGTGCTGCTTAGTTTGGGGAGGGAAACGGTGTGTAGTTGAGCAGTACGAATGTGAGAGAGGAAGGGTGTTCAGTGTGGGATGGATACAATGTCAGGATTTGAGTTTGCAAGCTTATCACATGCAAGGGGAATCTTGTTAGTAAGGGAGCTAGATCATAAAGGTCCAATCCAACTCAAGCTATTCTAGGATCTCTGACTCTCACCAGAAATACAGGTTTTATCTGGTGGCTTAGCATGTGTTTATTGTCTAAAGAAGGAAAGAAGTCATCTCTCTGTAACGTGCCTAGTACAGTGGAGTGCTGGTGTGTGGATGGGTGCTGCACAAACAGAAGCAGCAAAGGTACGAATGCTGGTTACTTTCAGAAATCATGAGATGTGCCTTTTGTCTGGGTCTGACAACTTCCCTTTTCTCTCTCTTCCCAGGGGCAAATAGAAATTGATGACCAAGTGGAAGGGCTGCACTACTTGGCATCGCAGTACGACTTCATTGATTTGGATCGTGTTGGCATTCATGGCTGGTCATATGGAGGCTACCTCTCTCTTATGGCTTTAATGCAGAGGTCAGATATCTTCAGGGTATGTTCGTACATTGAGTACTTATTCTGGTGGTGCAAACAGAATGTTTCCTCTAATCGTGTAACCTCCCTCAGGTGGTCACAGCACAAAGACCAGTGAGACGCAGTGCTCTGCCTGTTTCCATTGAGATTTTTCTAGTCAGGCAAGTTCTGTTTTAGAATACCTTCCTTGTACAGGATTTCTAATTAGGCTTTTTATATTAGACACTGGCTAGCCTTCTGATGCTTCCAGAAAATAGATCTTAAAATTTATTCACACTTTAAATCTAGTGCTTTCCAACAAGTCACTGTGCAGTTTTAAACCAGCATTCAGTGGATACTGCAAGAGCAGTTCTCTGCACTTGTTTCCATCTGTAGCGTGGGGACGAGATGCTCTTCCTCTGTTAGCCTGTTGTCACTGTTGGGTTTTCAGGGGTGTCTGGGACTGGTATTCACACTGAGTCTGTACTGGAACAGATAGGTGATTCAGCTTTTCAAACAGAGACAGTGAGACCTGTGCAGCCCCAGTAAGTCATGCTAATAGAGATGCCTCATAACACTGGATTGCATTTGTAAGATTAAGTGCTGCTCTTTCCCACCTCCCCATGCAAGTTTGCAGCCTTCATCCTCAGGGTGATTTGGTGTGACTGCACCATCGCTGTGCTTCCTTCCTTTAGCTCCATGTGAGCTTGACATAATCCTGACCTGATGTGAAGGTGCTGTGCTGTCTGTGAGGCTTCCTGTGCTGATGTGGGCAGGGTGCTTTTGGGTATCCAAGAAATGTAACGTGAGAGGAGTGTGAGGCAGTTCAGGTAGGCCAGTTTTCTTGAAACATCTGAGAGTTCTTGTGAGCCAAGGTGAGGAGGATCAACTGTTCACCCCATTCGGCTGAGCACAGAAGGTGCTGCCTCTCTGGAGCTGTGTAGAACAGCTTTAAGCTGATTGACTTTTGAGCTTGCAGAAGTGTAACAGTGCTGCTGTAGCTTTACCAGTCTGAGGTCACGTGTGCGGAAGGTCCCTCATATAGTGTCACTCTTGCCTGCTTTGTGCCAGCTTAGCTCTTTGTGCTGTGAATCAACCAAGGGAAATTACCCCGCTGAGAAACAGCACCACCATCTCTTCCTCCTCCCCTCTTTACTCTCCTTCTGTCCTAAGAGAATGGTTTCTTTGTAGTCTTGATCTATTCCCAGATCGATTTGTAACAGTGTGTTCTGTAACAGCCAGGGGGCAACCTGGCCGTGGGGAGAGGTGCTGGAAGGAGGTGCTTCTGCTTACATGACTTGAGAACACTGCAGTAAATGGCAAAACTGTTGTTGGGCAAGTGTCAGAGGCAGAGATGTGGTGAGAGCTGAATATTGCTCTCAGCACGGTTTGCTCCTTGTGGTTCTCCTTGCATTGTCTAAATCCAACCTCAGTATTCTTGGGAGGTTCAATCATTACTTTTTTACAAGTCCTTAAGGATTATCATGTAAAAATACTTGACTGGAAACGAGTTTTATTTTGTTTAGTTTTTCACTGGTCTTTTCTCACAAGCATCTCTGCATGCTGTCGGTGGGTATGCAGGAGGGATTACTGAGTCCTAGGGAGCTTTTAAGTCCAGTTTCTGTTAAATGCTCTAATAAAAAGTTCTGTGACCCCAAAGGAGAGCGCTCCACGTTTTGAATTAAGTCTGCTTACCTCCAGCAGGACCTGCAGGAGGTGTGCTCAGTGCTGCTCCCGATTTGTCCATAGGATCTTCCTGCTTTTAGCAGCTGCCTGGACGTAGGCTGTAGCTGAAACCTGCAGATGCACGTGAGCTGTGGGAAGGACTGCTGTGGACTCTAAGGAGAGCTTGCTAGCGCGTATCCTGAGCACTGGGGTAGCGATGAGGGAGGGAGGGACATCCCCAGATCGAGGTGTCAGGGTTGTCATCCCTTCCCTGTGCTGAGAGCCGTGCTGACTTGCAGGTTGCCATCGCTGGAGCGCCTGTGACGCTGTGGGTTTTCTATGACACGGGTTACACAGAGCGCTACATGGGCCACCCGGAGCACAACGAGCAGGGCTACTACCTGGGTTCCGTGGCCATGCAAGCTGACAAGTTTCCTTCTGAGTAAGTTTGGTTCTGCAGACTATTTATTTCCTGTTCTTGGCAATTAAATCTCGCAATCATAAATGCTGGTATTAAAACAAAAACAACGCTAATGAGCTTAATAGACTTGAATGAACATTTGCATAATTACGGACCATTCCAAGTAATCCCTTTTATCCTAGCTGTAATTAAGACTATTTTTATGTCTAAAGAAATGACAAACACATCTCCAGTTATATGATTAGCAGTTTAGAGTCGCAGTAAGCTAGACAAAAGTTAGTTTATCAGCATGCTTTCTGCGTGCTTTCAGTCTGCGTCAGCACAGAGTTGTCTGCAGAGCAGGCTGAGGCTGCAGGCTTTCTTGCCAAAGAGCAGAAAACCAGCAGTGATTCTGAGCAAGTGTTAAGCTGTTGAATTATCCAAGGTAGAAATTGTTTCTGAAAATAGTGATAATGTGCAGATAAAAGATGTGACTGTTATGTGCGTGTACAGGAAGAGCTTGTAGAGGAAGGGAGGGTGGGTTTGTGACGAGCTGCAGGTCCATCCAGGGCAGCTCACAATAGCAAAGTTACTCTCTTCAGTGCAGCCTTTTTTACTGTTTGCTCTTTTGGAAGGAGTGTTTGTGGACTGTGCAGTGACTGGCAGCTTCTGGGGTGCTATCTAGAAATGTTTGTCTCTTGCTTTCCTCAGACCAAACCGTTTGCTGCTGCTACATGGGTTCTTGGATGAGAACGTTCACTTTGCACACACTAGTATTTTGCTCAGCTTTTTAGTGAGAGCTGGGAAGCCATACGACTTGCAGGTAAGGCAAGAATGAGGATGTGAAAATGAAGTGTTGTCTTTGAGGAGTACAAATAGAAGCTTGTGTTGTGTCTGTTCTGGGCAGCTTGGGATTCTGGAGTAAAACTCCAGTATTTGAGCCTACTGTGTTTTTTTTAAAGGAAGGTTTATGAGTAAACCAAACAACTTCTAGGTAAATGAGCAGCGAAGGCTGCTCCCAAGGAGATCTACAGTGTGGAAGCAGTACTACAGTGTCTGTGCAGGACAGAGCAGGCTTATGTAATTAATGAAACCCTGCTGGTTCTGTGCAGATGTAGCCCAGGTACCCTGCATCGTGCTGCAGAACTGAAGCACGCTGATGTTTGTGATGGCTCCAAGCAGGATCTGCTTCTGTTCAGCGAGGAGTCGCATCCAGCTAAGCACAAGCTGGATCAGAGGATGCAGGTTGTTGTCTCCAGGCTCAGGAAGCAGAGGAGGGGATGCTGAAGTGCAAACAGAGCTGCTGCACGGGGATGGCACGCACGTTTTGAACTCCAGGACCAGTTTAAATGTTGGCACTCAAAAGTTTTGTGGGTACTCATGACTTTATTTTATATTTTAGATCTACCCTCAGGAGAGGCACAGTATAAGGGTGCCTGAGTCGGGAGAGCACTATGAACTCCATCTACTGTATTACCTGCAAGAGAATCTGGGCTCTCGCATTGCTGCCCTGAAGGCAATGTAACTCGCCTCTGCAGGACTCTGCTCAGCTGGCTGCTGTTCCAAATGAGGAGACGGGAAACTAGAGAAAACAGAACGGAACTTTGCGTTTTGGTGCCTGCCACGTGTACACACACATTCATACACAGAGAGACACTTTTTTAAAGTAAATTTGGTGCCATATAGGGAATTAAAGGACGATGGCCTAATAACCTTAAAGCTTAGGGTGTAAATAAAATCCAGTGTCTGTAGTGCAATGCAGTACCATGGGTGTTCTCTCGGGGGAGGAGCTCAACTGAAGATAAAGTACTTCCACAGCACCAGAGCTTCACGTTTTAAAAAGACTCTGCTCTAATCAGTGTTTTTACATTGTGTTCCTTGACACTAGAAAGTTTACACAGCAGGAGTTTACCTGGATGCTTACAATGTGTACATTACGTTTTGAATGTCATTGTATAGCTTTTATGCTTCCTAAACGGGATGTGTCTCACTCCAGAAAAGTTGGTCCCAAGTTAGACACGTCCCCTATCCAGCTTCTGATTGTTTTCTAAGGAGAAACACTTTTAAGCTGCCCTAAGAAGATTTTAAATTTTGGATTCAGTTCAGCTGATGCCAGATTCTTTTCAAAAATGGCTTTTCTTCTCAGGATAAGTCGTACCGGTTTTCCTTCCAGCAGATTGATGTCCTATCCTGATTGTACTTGATTTCACCTGGGGAAGTGAAATGATGTTTTACTGTGATGTGAGCATAACAATCTTTTATTTGGGATGCAAACTAATTTAAGGCAAATTGCAGAGACTTTGTAAATTCTAAAAGAAGCTTAAAAGTGCAGCCCGTTCCTCACTGACATTTTTCCCTGGCGTTCATCCTGGAGCTGTTCTTGCAGTACTGTTTTCTTACTGTCACTTCAGCATGATGTAGATATATGCATCCTGTTACAGTTCTGAGATTCAACGCTCTGATTCAAGGGTCTGCAGAGGATTTGGAGAGGAGAGACCATACGAACACTGCGCATCAGGCAGTGTGAGCTGCTCCATTGGATTTCCTGATTATATTCAAGGCACTGTTTCCCAGGCTCTGCTCAGTCCTCTGGTCCCAGGTCATTTCCAGCACTGCTGCATAGCATGACTGTGATGCTGTGTTTGAGAGCTCCCTTCTGCATAGCTTAAGGTAACCCCTCTAAGCCTAAAGGATGAAATCCCAGTTGTGTTTTTGTTAGTGAGGTTTTAACTAAGCAGCAGGCTTGGCTAAAAAGTGTCTTATGTGAAGTTACTTTAAACTTGCAGCAAGTTGTTCGAGATAGAAATCCATGGCAAAATGATTCTCTTTAATCCAGGAAATTCTCCCCTTGGGACCTGCCTCTGAGACTCTTGTAAGTTTTAATGGTTTTCTTAGAAACCTAAGAACTTCCTTTCCTTTCCTTTTTGGTGCTAGAGAGAAGCTGAGCATGGTTTTTCTTTTCGTCTTTTCAAAACATGGAATCCCTCTCAGTACTTATGCTCTTTGTGCTCCACACGTGCCCTTGTCTTTTCCTCGCTGTGGTGCTGTTCAGCTTGGCCATGAGACTCTGGGATTTAACACCATCTGATTGTATTGTATCACACTGCACATTTTGCAGTCAGGCTGCTGAGCGCTGACACTGGCAGAGCCACTGCAGTTACACGGGTGTGAAATGTGATGTGAGAACAGGATTTGGCTTGGGGATTATGCAAAAGATAGCCAAAGCAAACAGGTATGCAGTAGGTGTACGTTTCCCTGACATGGGAGCGTTTAGTTTGGGGATTGGGGTTTCAGATCACTGTTTTTTCAGTGGATGAGTTGAAATCCCCTTAGCAGGTCGGTAACAGCCTTGCTGCTGGGATCTGGCATGGCACACAGAGAGCCCGGCTCCTTCTGACACCTCCTCTTTGAGAAAGGAACTGTGGCTGAACCTGGGCTGTCTGCTGTAGTCAGTGCAGAGAGATGAGTAATTGTGCTGAAGCTTTTGGTCTGGAGCAGCGTGGCAGGGAGTACAGAAAAGTAAAAGCTGTCACGATGGAGTTCTTTTCAGTTCCTCACATGTTTATGCTGTATGATATATACATATATCTATATCTGTTCATATATACATATATGTATAAAATTACACGTGGATAGCATCACCTTTTCCAAGGTTGTTTATATTTTGTTCAATATTTAACTTGCTTTTGGGGTGTTTCTGCTCTTTTTCTAGAGGTGAGTGCCCTTGAATGTAAATGTTTATGATTTTTAAGGCAAAATTGATCCTTTTGTGTAAAAAAGAAAAAAAAAAAAAAGAAAAAAAAAGCCTTCAGCAAGCAGTGCTTCTTTGGCAACTGAAGAACTAAATGTTATGCAAGTAAACCAGGCTGGATTTTGATTTAGCACAGGGTTGTAAGTGCTGACATATAACTTTTAAATAACACATCTTTTCGTTGTTTTAAATATACCTATTGAAAAGCTATTAAGGTGCAAAGCACTGTAAGTACTCTATTTTGCAACATATTCTTTTTTTTCCTACAAAAGTTTTTTCTTTTTACAGCAGCCAAGCACTTTAAGACCCCCTGCTCTCTTATCCTGCAGAAGTGCTGGGAGGATTTATCAGCAGAGCTTTGCAGTTCTGGTCAGAGATGCCTCGTGTGAGCTTTGAGACTGAGGTAGGGAGGTGCCGAGGGCTCTCAGAGCACAGATGGGTGCCTGGGGGTCGGATGCAGCAGTGTGCTCTGTGCCCAGCAGGCGCCTGCGCTGAGCAGGAGGGAGACGCAGCCTTCATTGCACAGTGGGCATTGGCTTCTTCCCAGCAGTTGCACTGATGTCTTTGGAGATGAATGTTTTAACGTCTCGTACCTCAAAGAATACATGAAACCTGGGGATCTGTGCTGAAGTTGGGTGGTGATGCCAGCAGTGGCTGGGATTTGTTGAGGTTGTTTCTGTGGGAGCCCAATCTCTATCCCTTCTTATGGCAGCCTTCAGGAATTTTGCCAAATGGGGTTTCACCCTTCACACAGGAATTGCACTCCCTACCCCGTCCCTTGGTTTCCAATGGTCTTCTATTCAGAACAAAATATAATTGGTAATTAACCAGAGCTGCTGAGTTTTTGTAAGCTCTCTTAACTTCAAAATGTTCGTTAATGAAATAATGAATTCAAGCCTCATGTAAAGCTTTGAAAATCAATTAGCTTCATTATATCGCAATGGAAAATGCATTCTCTGGTTATTGCTAGTTCTGTTTGGGGAATGAGAGAAATACTTTGAGCAGAGATATGGGTGCTGCTTCCTCCCCAAGCACAGCGTGTGCCACGCACTGCAGAGATTTCCCAGCTTGACCATGGGGTCCCAGCACCACTCCATGGGGGGAGCACCGGGTTGTGCTTCTGCTGTGTCCATACAGAAGGCTGTTTTGCTGCTGGCATGACATTTGGCTTCTGATGAGGCAATAATAGAGTACAAGTGAATGAAATAACGGCCCAGATTAGGATACTGCTTTGAACTGCCTGTTTACTGGAGTACCAGAGCCCTGCAAAGACTTCCATGCACCCCTTGCGGGTCTTTGGGACAGTCCTTTCGCAGAGAGCTCTTGGCGTGGTTTTTACGTAGATGTTCTGCACAGAGTTCAGGTTTTTAATGTTAGAAGTGCCTGCTGTTTGCATTAACAGAACTGCATGTCTCACTCCAGTGGGTTTATGGTCTCCCTCCCCCACCTTTCTAGCGACTTAGCTTTTAATCGTGTAAAGTGGAGACATTTGTTTTGCTGCTTTTTATTACAAAACCTTTGTGGCAATAAAGATGCTGCTAAATAAATTGAATTAAATGGTTCCCCTTCCCCCCTCCCACCCCCGCTCATTTTCAACTGTCTCTCTTCTTGATTTAGTAGAGTTTGTGCATAATTAGATCTCCTTGCTTTGTGCTGCAGAGAGCAGCAGTGATGGAAAATGTGCGTGTGCATTTCATGCACTTGTTGGGCATTTAGTGAAAGCATCTGATTTTTCCTGTCCCTTGTGATTAATTGATACAAACAGGAAGTTCAGGCACTTGCTTGGTATAACCGCACTCCTGCTTCTTCCCATTCCTGTGTGCTGGGAGCAGCCCTTGGCTGTGGATCTGGGCACATTCCTTCCTTGCTGCCCAGGGTGGGCACAGCACAGTGTGGGACGTGGCTCTGGTGCCCTGTGTGGTGAGGTGGGAGAGAGGAGGGGATGCGTGCCACCTCCTGCTGGGCCTCACGGGCCTTGAGGTGATTGGTCTTTATGGGTGCCCCAGTTCTGCTTAGTGCTGACCCAGAACGGATGGTGGAGGGCACGGGGTGGTCATGTTCAACAAGTTGTGTCACTCATTTATTGCTGCTTTTTCACTCTTAGAGCAGGGCCACCTGTTCTTGGCATGGCTTGGCTTGGAATGGACCTTAGAAAGACCTGGTCCCAACCCCTGGTCGTGTGTAGGGTTGCCACCCACATGATCAGGTTTCCCAGGGCACTCATTCTGATAGCTCTCAGAAGTGAGCTGGTAACCAGCAGTGTGGTGATGCACTGCATCTCCCTCTGGGGTTTTAGACCCTACCATAACATAGCAAAGCTTTCCCTGTAGCGTTCAGGAGCCATCATACAGCACAAGCTGGGCCATGAGCATCATGCCAGCCCAGGGCCAATTCTGGAGCAGCCACAGGGCTGCTGCCCCTCAGCTGGATGTGCAGGCATCCTCACCACCAGGTAGCAGAGGGGAAGGTTTCCCCACGTGCTCCTGTGTGCTGGTGAATGAACTGCTGCAAACCTTCTGGGTGGTGGTGATTTTCATCTGTATGATGAATAAATTATGAAGTTGCTTCCTTAACTAATTGCTGTCACTTGAGCTGACTGTACCTTTGGGTATGCAGTGGAAGCAAATATTTCTCTTTAAAATAGACTTTCTGCGGATATTTGAGCTGAATTGAGGCTAAACATGCTCCTAGAGATGAGAAGTTTGCAGGGCAGAATGAACTTCTCATCCCAGATGAGATTTTTCAGAAATCACTGTGCTGGCCATAGTGTGAGTGCTGCGTGCTGGAGGCTGCCTGGGTTTTTGCTCAGTGCTCTGAGCTTTGCAAACATGAGAGCTCATTTATCTGCGTTTGTGCATTGGGTTTGCTTCTGAGTGAGCAAAGCCTGTATCCGATGTGTTTCGGGATCTTTGCCCTGAGTAGGACTGATGGAAAGCAGCCAGTACTGTTGTGTTCCGAGGAGGGAGGGGATGCTGCTGTAGAAAAGAGTGAAGCTGGAGGTGTCGGCTGTGCAGCAGACTGGCTGTGTGACTCAGAGCAAGCTGAGCTCACTGCTCTTGGCTTCCTGCTCACTGAACTGCGGATCTGATAGAGCTGGGCTGGGCAGGACCTGGGCCTTTGGGTTTTGGTGCAGTTGTAAATATAAGAGGAACTCCTGTGGTGATTGCAGTTCTGTGCCTGGATCTGGTAGGTGAGGCAGCAGAGCCCACAGAGCTGTGATTCTCAGGGAATGATGGATTGGTGGCTCCCGTGTTTCCACATCGTGCTGTCAGATGAGCACCTGCCCCACTGGGCAGGCAGACTGCTGCTGCTGAGCATCCCAGCGTGGGTGGTGCTTATTTCTAGGCCGGGTTGGTGGCTGTGGGGTTGCAGGCTCCTACTCTTCCTTGTGCACCTCCATTGGCTGGCATTAACAGAGGCTGCAAACCCTTCGGGCTTTTGAGACCCCATTTCTCCCATTTCTGGCCCATTCTGAGTCCACTCCCTTGGCTGCTGGGGAGGAATGGTACCACGGTTCCCATGGAGACTCATTCGTTCCCCTGCATGGCATTGCTGCAGCACTTCTCAGCCTTTTCAGGCTGCAACAAAAAGTGTTTTCCTGCACAGTGTAGAAGGGGGTTTCATTTGCAATGGGACAAGCTGGTGGGCATAGCTGTGCTTCCTGCTGCTTGTTGCTGGAAGGAGATCAAAAATGCCCTCCATGCCAGCAGAACACTGCTTCATCCACACTGCTGCTGGGCTCCACGCACCCAACAAATCCCCTGCAGCTGTGCTGCTGGCATGTCCCGGATGTGGACTATGCTCCAAATTTGTCCTTGGTGTCCTGGCTGCAACAAGGGGAATCCTGTTGCGTGAGAGCATTGAAGGGTCCTGGTGTGGGGTTTGTGACGATGAGAGCTGTTCATCCCTCCAGTTTTCAGCATTGGCCTGTGCTGGTCCTGGCCCAGTTCCATCCTACACCAGCAATTTGTCCTCTGTTACAATCTATTTTTAATGTTTGGAGTTCATAATTCTGTTGTGTAGCAGCAAAACGGAAATATCTTTCCTGGAAGAACTAATGCACTAAATAAACCCTCTGCATACCTTACAAGAGAAAGAACGGATCTGCAAATGTTACAGGAGAGCAAATAGCTGCATCTCCCTCCCCGCAGGCTTTTTTCAGGCTGAGCCGGCAGACAGAGCTGTGCTTGGGTCCCTGCAGATGGGGGCTCGCGCTCCTCCCACGCTGCGCAGCCCGGCTGGCCGGGAGCCAGGCTGTGCACTTCGCAGGGAATTCGCAGTTTCAGTGTTGTTTTTTTTTTTCTGCTCTGAAACGGATCAAAAGCAAACAGCAGATTTACTCTGCCAAGCGAAATTCTGGAGAGGCAGAATCTGAGCGTTATCGCTTTGAATTAAAGCCTTTCACGTTTGCGTTTGACAGCGTTACGGTCGGAAAGTTTAAACCTGCTTGAAATGGAAAGCCAAAACATCGGAACGGAGCGGTTGGCAACTTCTGGAAACTGTCCTGTTGTCTTCCAGGCAATCCTTGTCCACGCAGTCCCGGTGTCGTTCGGCTCAGCCCCGCTTTGTGCTGTGTCCATGCTGATGGAACATTCCCGGCATAGGCAGCAGCAGGCCTGGCATTGGCAGGGCACAGGCCCTTTTTCTTTCCCATTGTGTTTGGAATTTCACTGTTTATTTTTTTTTCCCCAGCTGCCATTCCCCTCCACACGGTGCAGCGGTGGTGGAGTGGCTGGACGCGCACCTTCACCTTTCTGTTTCTTAAAGTAGAATCACAGCAGTCGTCGCCAGCTGAACACCTGAAGTGATGGCATTGGTTTCCTGCCAGCGCCACTCAAAAAATCCACAACTTTGGCTTCATCGGCCCCCATTGGCAGCTTGGAGGTCAGGTTTTGCCCGGGGAATACGGGAATACGCAGTTGTCCCAGTGATTCGGGAGCCCTTTTCCCACCGAGCAATGGGCCCTTTCTTTGGGGCACAATGAACCCTCTTGCTGCCTTTCTTGCCTTTTCTTCCCCGGCTTTCCCACATTCTGTTCGCACCTTCATGAATATTCAGAGGCCATTGGCCATATGAAGCTATTGAGAGCCCTTGTTAACACTTCTCCTAATGACATGCACCTTCAATAGAAAACAAAAACACAGATAAGAGCTTGTTAGTGGAGACCCTTGTTCCCCACCTAACAAGGTTTCCATTGACTCGGACACTTGTGGTGACACATTGCTTGCTCTCGCTGTTGCCTCTTTTGATTTGCGACTGGCTCTTACCGAGGGTTTTTTTTTTTCTATTTTTTTGCCTTTTTCTTTAATTGCGCGGTTTTAAGCTAATTAAGAAGGAGGTCAGGGCTCCCTCCCAGTGCCGTGCTGTGCGTGCGGGTGGGAGACACTCAGCTGCGGCGCGTGGGAACGTGGCATTGAGAGCAGCCCTGGGACACGAGTCCCACTGCCCAGTGTCCCCATGGGCCAAAGCGCTGTCCCCAAGGCGATGGGGGGACACTGAAACATCTCTCAGCTCCTTTGCCATGCCCTCCAGCTGCTCCGGGGAGAGTTGTTCCTGACACAAGGGCTCTTCTCCATCCTCTGGTCACGCTCTGCTCCCACCGCTACCCGTGAGGCTTTCATTAGGCTGGGCCGACCCATTCCATCCCGTGAGATGCCTGCTTGGATTTTTCTTTTTTTTCTGGCCACACCTCATTATTTCTGCCGTTACTGGGCTCTTGCAGCGTTGTTTGTTGGCTCGTGGAGGCCCCTTAGTTTCTATGGATACTGCTTCCCCAAGTGGCCAGGCTATCAATTAAGACAGCATTGCGTCTGAGTTCTTCCCGGGGACCTTATGAGGGGGCAGAGGTGACTCCCCCAAAATGCTGTGCTTGTTGCAGCACTGCTGCTCACTTGTGTTTTCTTAGCGTTGCCACGCAGGATTTCTACAACTGTAGGTAGTCAAGGATTTTGCAGAAATTTCCAGCCCTTCCAGTGGCCCAAGAGCCCAGGCTCTGGTCGCTACCCAGTGGGAATCGATGTCCTGGAGCAGGGACAGCAGAGAAATGGGCTTGGGTTGCGGTGCCAGTTCTGGATGGTGATTACAGTTCTTTATATGCTCTAAACTGGTTTATCTATCCCCAGGTAGATGTGTGCTGCCAACAGTGCTGTAATATCCATCGAGGGCCGCCCAGAGGTACGAGGAATAAACTCGCATGTTATTAGCTAATAGAGGGAAGTGATTCGATATGGCTCTCAGAAGCTGGAGCAGATAAATAGGATGATAAATGTTGGCGTTAGCAGACGTGACCGACTCCTCTGTCTCCGTGATTTGGTAGTGCCCAGTAATTAAATAGTTGGAGCCTAATGTATTTTAAACTAGAGCCGCAGCCCGTAAATCAAGCAGATTATGCTCTTCCCTGCTGTGTGCGCTCTGCTTCAGGAAGAATTCCCATTCCTGTGGCACAGCTGCTGCTGGCCACCACGTGGTGGCCATCGATCCCATCTCGGAGCCCAGCAGGCAGCCTGGGAGGGCACCCTGCGGCCTTTCCAGCTTGGGTTGTCTCCTT